ATGAAAGAACCAAGCACATCGAAGTTGACTATCATTTTGTGAGAGAGAAGGTGTTGAATGGAGTGATAGAGACTGCATATGTTAATACGGGAAATCAGTGGGCAGACTTGTTTACAAAAGGTTTGAGTTGGGGGAGAGTGGACTACATATGTAACAAGCTGGGATTATATGATATATATTCACCAGCTTGAGGGGAAGTGTTAGTGAAGGGGTATTTCAGTCTTTGTACCTGTTGAGAATGCTAATGTGTACTATTATGTTATTTCGAGTGCCTCTTACTTAAATAAGGGCACTTATGTCTTTTCAAATTATATTAATAATATAATAACAGGTCTGGCCGAAACTAGGGTTGACTTTTTCCTAATTCGAACCAGACCTTTTCTCTTCTTCTTCCTCTTTCTTCCTTCTTCTTTCCTCTCTTCCTTCTTACTGTTTACTTTACTTTTCAGCTAACAAACAAAACAAACTTCTAGGGCAGGCCGAACGTCAACAATGCTAAGTCTAAACTAAAGAGAATAACTCTTTTGGTTAGTTTGCAATTGATTCTGTCAATTAATTACCAGTCATAAAATCAACATATATTTGCTTATATACATATGTGTGTATCGGTCAATAAATAAGATTCATGATATTCTCTGGTTTTACAATTTTGTTCCATTGCTTATTACTTGATCCATTTTCTTCACAGAATTAAGATGTATTTGGCTCTGTTACATATGTAGCAGCTTTAAGTTCAATGTTAATTATCTAGACAAGAAATCCTTAAATAATTATCATTATTTTACTTAAATGTGTAAAAGATTATATAAAACCATAATGATTTTACATAAGGTACATGTAACATGAATATGATAATCACCTGTTTTCCTGCGTTGTCTTGTTTTAGAAGTTGATGAGTGACCTTTGTTGTTGCTACGGTTTATGCCTGTATTTACATTGCGCTTCAAGGAAGATCCTTTTCCAGATCCTACTTTTTGGATGCTTTGGTTATCAACAGTAACAAGCTTAACCAAGTTAGTATCATTTCCTGGTGTTTTACTGTGAAGCAAAACAGTGGTTGGAGATGTAGATAGACAATTGTCCCCTTGAGAAGGTTGCTTCCTGATATTTTTTTTGCGATCCTTCAATAGTTGGTGCTCCTTCACAGTAGGACAAAATTGAGATCCAGTAAATTCCAAATGTATGTAACTCCAAATAAAGAAATAAGCTAAGTAACAATGAGACTCAGAACTAACCAAAGCTTCTACAAATATCTTAAGCCTTCGAGGCTTCAAGTGGAGCTTAGAAGATTTGCAGCTATACTTTTCCAGCAATGACCACCTACAAGCAATACGGTTTTGAAAAATATGTATGCATGTCCATATCAGTTGAAATTACTCCAGAACTAAAAGAATTGTTTGAGGTACCAAAACATAGAATTAAGTAACATTTTTATTATTAAAGATAAAATATATAAAGAAAAGTTAGGAAAACAAAACACAAACATCAAGTTTCGTTGATTAAAGCAACAAGAAATTTGATGGTTATAGAGTACAATAGCCACCAATAAATAATACTAAAGCTAAAGGAGTTTTAACCTTAAATACAAAAATTTACACCTCAATAATTGATTGGCTAAATTATGCATCATACATTTTCCTTGCAAAGCAAACCAGAGATCCATACCATACTGATGCTTGGGACAAATCCTAGACCTTGTCTAATCAATCAATAAATAGACCAAGGTGGTTAATTCTAGGTTTCTTCCAATGGATGGCATTTGGGGAGACTTGTCAACTAGGTAGAATTATTGATGTACAAATTAAATATCTTTCAAAACATTTTGTTATTTGGCACCTGTATATAAATTCCAATCACATAGTGTTGAAGGCATTTTTTTTAATCCAAATAATATTTAAATAAATTAGAATGTGGGTTGGCTAGTCTGCTAGCCAAATCATTAAAACTATAAGAAAAGTATCCCGTACAGGAATTCCCTCTCTTTAAGTGGGGAGTTCCCTCTCTTTAAGTGGGAGGGACAGGTGTCCTTCACCTAGGAGGAGGTAGTTACATAACTACCCCATTCGCTATTTAAGCTCCTTAAGGAGAATCTAGAAGAACAGAGAGACTCTTTGGAGAAAATTTTCACAAGAGATTCTTAAGAAAAGCAAAGATGATGAGAGAAGAAAAGAGAAGTGCTCAAGGGAAGGAAAAGTCTCACTAATACAGGTAGAAAAAAGAAAGCCCTCTTTGTGAATACTTCCTATATATGTCTTCTGCTATGTATCCTTCTTCCTCTCTCTTTTATTTTCACTTTTGAGAAAGGAAATAGAGGGAAATAAACCATCTACAACCAGGTGCCTCTACTTGGTTGATTATGGTCCCTCTTTCAAGACAAAGTTAGGGATTAAACCATCTACAGTCTAATTCTCGAAGACTGATTATGGTTCCCTTCAAATGAAAATGAAGAGCAGAGGGGAATAAACCACCTACAACTAGGTGCCTCTACTTGGTTGATTATGGTCCCTCTTTCAATACAAAGTTAGGGATTAAACCATCTACAGTCTAATTCTCGAAGGCTGATTATAGTTCCCTTCAAATGAAAATGAAGAACAAAGGGATGAAAATCGTCTACAATCAAATATTCAGTTTGATTGACTACGGTTCCGTTTTTGTATGCAAAATTCCAAGAATTAAGGTTGTCTACAATCAGAATTTAATCTGATTGACTACAGCTTATTGTGAAGAAAAGAGTGAGAAGTAAATTTTCTTTGTATTAAAAAGAAAAGAGAAATGTATTGCTTATTGTATTTTCTTTTTCTTTCTTCTCATTCTTGTACATTTGATGTAAAAGAAAAGCAAATGAAAAGTTCTTTTTAAGTACCCTATTGTTCTTTTCTTTTGTTCTATGCGTTCATTTCTCCAAGTCGGAATCAAAAGGTGTTCTCTACTTTCTTGTGGAGATGTAATTAAGGGGAACAATCCGTATGATTCCCTGAATGGGCCTTACCCAAAATAATAAAAACTCAATCACTTGATTGAATGAATTATGTTGCATGAGAATTTATTAAAATTTTCACACCAACATATAGTAACCAACATGCCATCATTCCCAGTTTAAACTGATTAAATATTGTGTAGTTATTCAATGTTGACAGTTGACAGTTGACACTAAGTTCTCAATCTCCAAAAGGAACCAAATGCATACATGTGTTGTGTGGCACTTCAAATTGCGAAATGTTTATTCAATCTCCAAAAGGAACCAAATGCATACATCCATTAAATTACATTTGATGGATTTTCCTTGAGCAACTGTCTAATCAGAGGTGGTTTTGAAATGATTATTCAAGCACATTGCGAAAATGCTGATTTAAGTGATTCAGCAAAAGCATGATCTGAGTCATTGTCCTTTATACAGGGTCTCAGATTATCAGTATCCATGGGCTATAAGAAGATGTTGGGAGATCCCCGGTTGGTGATGTGGATGAGGGGCCAAAACCACATCAATGGTCCATGGAAATTTTTTATACCAGCATAAGAGAGGCTAGGTATTTAAAATTCAAGGTGCACCCCTTGTTCTCTTGCTTTATTAGATCAACAAATTCTATAGCAGATGATCTATCAAGAAAAAAGATTATCAAGAAGCTATTATGGTATACATAATTATTATCTCAACGGTACCCTTGTGTAGGGAATTAAACCAAAACCAGTGGAGTCCATTCCCTTGGTAACATTATTTTGCTTACTTAACCAATTAAAACAATACCTTCACTGTGTTACCAATAAAAAATAAAAATCTGGAAAGTGTAAAACCACTTCATAACAGTTTTAAGGGTTTCTATCAATGATCTGCTTAGGGAGTGGCAGGTGGTGACAGAGTTGCAGCATACTCGGCAACAAAGGAATGTTGTTTGGTCCCCTCCTAATCCAGAGGTGCTCAAACTCAATTTTGACAGTTGCAGCCTTGGAAACCCAGGGCCCTCGGGGGTGGGAGGAGTTGTTAGAGATCATGAGGGCAGTACCATTCTAAGTTTCTCAAGCCCGGTGGGACAGGGAAATTCCTCTAGAGCTGAACTTTTGGCCTTGGTTCAGGGCTTGAAGTTGTTGGCTAGGCAGGAACTAAGGAATGTGGAAGTTGAAGGTGGCTGGCAAATGGTTATAGGTTGGATGACAAAGCAAGACCAAACTCCTTGGAAGTTCAGACCTTTAGTCAGAATGGTTCAAGCTCTAGGTGCTGACTTGAATGCCTCATTCAAGTGGGTGCCTAGGAATGCCAATATATTGGCCGATTCTCTAGCTAAGGCTGGGGTTGGGAAATCTTGTTTAGACTGGGGATGCCTAGGACCGGATACTAATGTGTAATTTGTAATCAGTGCTGTTTCTGCTTTGTCGTATTTTTTTTTTCTGTTGTCAGATGTGGATGGCCTCTTGGGAGGCCCAGCTTTGTACGCTTCTTTGGTTGTACCTTTTATGTGCAGCTTGATTTTAATGAATATTCTCCGTGTTGCTTATCCAAAAAAAAAACACAATTCATCACAAACTTGAGGTGGTAGCAGTTAAGCTCCACTTTGAGATTAGTGGTATCAACTCTCCAAGCACAGGTATGGGCTCCACTAACTTAAACCAACAGTATGAAAGAAGGGGAACCACAACTAACATATTTCAAGAACATGATGAGCAACTCAAATTTTATGAGTTACACATTGAAATAATAAACTACACAGACAATAATGCCATGAAAATGAAATATTTAGAGATGGAAAGAGAAGGCAAAGAAATCACTGGTTTTAGGCATATTCTCAACAAGCTAAAAGAAATAAGAAGAAATTAATTAGTCATTTTGAATACCATCGAAGCATGGCAGCATTAGTATCTTTGGAGTTCTTTGCATCTAGACTAATTCCTGGACCCAGCAGCTTGTTCATCCGTCTTACAAGACGATAATAATAATGTCTGACCTGCATAACAAAAGAACAAGAAAGAGACATCAATACTTGAACAAGGGGTTAGAAGAATCAAAACAATCATTTGCTGGATTTTTATCAAATAGATGCATATAATTCCCAGCATTCTAGCTTTGTCTTTTTCCCCCTTTCTTTCTGGGTAAATAACAACAAATTAGTTATTTGAGTAGATGAATAAAGGTCAATGAAACATCATACGTTGTCATTGTCCGGATGTCATGTAAAACACCGTTTATTTTTACTTGCAACTCATTTACTTTTGACTTACAAAAATAGAAAAATTAAAAAGAGCTTTTGTTTCCCAAATTAGGATGGATGATTTTCTGTAGTCAAGATCATCTGGAAGGACCCTGGAGTGGGGGCTAGCACCTCTCTTACATTAAACAAGAAAATTAATGCAAAAAAGTTGGACTCCAAGGGAATAGAACTCAATGGCAGATGGTTCAGCCAAGCTTGTGGGGATGATCTTTTTGTACGGTGGCAACTCCATTCCTGCTTAATAAGGGATTGGCTACTTGTTCATAGTTTTTGCATCTTTATACAATTATTCTTCCCTCTGTTTTGCAAATTGCTATAATAATCATATATACTATTTCAAGAAAAGAAAAATTATCTGGACAGAAACAACCTCACATATATATGATATCAATGTTTAGAAAACCGGATCAGACTGGCCAGTCAGACCTACTGAACCTTGACCCGTCTGGTTCAGCCATACCCCAAAAACAGAATGTATTAAAAACCGGCCAAAACCATTGACCCGGTTTCAAAAAATGGCCAGTTTTGTGATTTTTTAAAAGCAAATGCAAACTTCCAGAGGCCATAACTTTTTTTTTCTCTTTGAGGAGAAGTAAAGTATGAATTTCATTAAAGAAAACCCTGTGCAACTAAAGGCCGTAACAAGGAGAGCCATAGAAAAACTAAGCCACTATCCCATCAGCATTTACAAAAAGATTTACAAAATCAAAAAAGGAACTAAACTCTGAACTGTGTAAGTTGAACTGAGCTGACAACCAAGAAAGCAATTTGCCCACAATTTTTTGCCATACATCCTCCTCTTGACTGCTTTTGTTCTGAAAAATTCTAGAGTTTGTGTCCTGCCATAAAAACCACCACACGACTCCAGGGATCATTTTGCCAAATAGCCTTTTCTCTTCTGTACTTTGCACTCAGTTGTCTGATTAGGGTGATCTTTTTTTATTTTGAATATATTATATAATTAATATTGTCATGTATATGTATATATATAATTAATATTTTGTGTCTCTAGTGTTCAGGATTTGTCTAGGTTTCTTGAAATTCTCTTTTCCTAAGACCTATCACACAATTCATTGTGCATTTTTCTGGTAGAACAATTCACATAGTGACGTTGGGACTAGAAACAAATCTAAGAAAAATGGGAATTAAATATGAAAGATAAAAAAAACTTTTCATCACCCTAACAGGTTGGTGTATTCTTGTACATTTCTCATGTAATTAATAAAATGGTTTGGTGTTTTTTTTTTTTTGATAAATGAATAAAATGGTTTAGTTACTGATAAAAAACAAATCTAAGAAAAATGAATCCCCAAACCTCCTAACTAATGGGAAGTTTCTTTTTCTTTTGTTGTAAACAGTGTTTTAAAAGCGCAAGGGGAAATTTGCACCCAAGGCACAAGGCGCAAGGCAAGGTGCGCACCTTTTTGAAGCAAGGCACAAAAGTACAAAAAAAAAATCAAAACAAAAATATTAAACACAATATTAATAAAAAATATAAACTTAAATTTTAAAATAAATGTTTTAAAAAACCTATTATCTAAAATTAAAATACATAAACATAACATGTAAAGCGCATTTAAATGAAAATTTTAAAAATAAAATTAAACATATAAAACACTTTCAAGCATGTAAAACTCACAATCTCTTTTTTTCCACAATTGCATTACTTCAAGTAGCTAATGTGATATAAAACATATTGTCTTCCTGATTCTACGAGCCACCTTTGTACCACGCCCCTCGAGGCAAGCCCAAACAAGTCTATGTTAGGGTCTTAAATTCTTAATTCTCGCACAAAAAAAAATAACGATTTTATAATTTTAAGTGCCTTTTATGAAGATATTTTATTAGAATGAAAAAGAAAACAAAAAAGTGTAACAATTTAAAAAGGCACATGTCTGGGCTGAGGCGCATGCTTAGGCGCACCAGGCCCTGGTGCGTCTTTTGAAAATGCTGCACCTAGGACCTAGGTGAGGCGCATACCTTAAAATGCACATCGCCTATGTGCCTAGGTGTGCCTTTTAAATCACTGGTTGTAAATGGGAGGTTCTAAGTTTTATTGTTCCAACAATATAAAGTATCAAAAGTTAAAGCAACAAATACTACAAGACCATGAGCAATAGCATGGCTGTCCCCCCCCAAAAAAAAAATTAATAAATAAATACATAAATAGATAAATAAAACCACACTTTCAGTAACTACTAGAAACATTTTTTTGCTCTGACAACTTTCAAGTAGGCATCCATAAACTACCAAAAGTAAAAAGTAGTTCCCTCTTTAGGCTTTCAACTTCCTTATGTTAAGTATATTTCAATAAAAATATATTAAGAGATGAATCATAGAAAATATAAATAAACACAAAAATAAGCGCACTTGCAATGGAGGATAAACTAAAGAATCATAGATCTAGTCTTTCCACATTTCTCCATTATACTACAATCTAATGAAGGAACACGTTGGAAGAAATTGGTCACCTGATCCTTGTTTTTGCTTTGGACACGACAAGTAATCTTCTCAAAATTCTGTTATCAAAATATGACATGTCCATAGTTAGGAAACTTCAAACTAAAGAATCTAATGACTAAAATCCATGTTGACAGACATGCCTTGCCAACTTGCCGTAAGGCATTGAAGAAGCTTTCCTCTTCCTGCCGTGTCCAGGCAGCCCATTGCCGTGTTTGTTTTTTCACTGCATCAGAAAATTAGCTTATTAATGAAGTACACAATATGTTTCTTCCAAGGAAAGGATGTTTCAACCTCTGTAATAGTGTCTCAGGTCAAAAATATAATTTCAAAGAAGAAGCATCATACCAGGCTGCTGAGGAACAACAACACTCTGTGAGATCAAAGCAACGCCAGAATCTCCATCCTTAATTAACAGGTTCTCAGATGAAAGTGGAGCTGCGCATTCCAAAGGCACCTGTGACTTGGTATGCATATTGAATGCAAACATTAGATTACCACTTGATTTTCATAATTTTCAGATTGCAGGTCTTCAAACAATGCTTCTCTGCAGGTGTCAATTCTGCATATAAATCCAAAGTAACCAAGCCTAATTAATACAAAAGGAGAAACTGGAAATTTAGAACCCAAAACAAATAAAGAAAAGAATCCACTCAAATTAATATAAAAACTTTGAACGTGCTAGCCTATCACATGCCCTTACATGAGTTTATGGAATATCTAACAAATACAAATGTAATACACACTTTTACATCTTAATTATGATCATCTCAGCCACTAAGATAGATTCACTTAGAACAAAGAACAAAAACATAGAAAAACCCAGTTCTTGACCAACCACATGCATATGCCCCTAGTCAATCAAGGTTTCACCATAACCCCTTCTAAGAGGTTTCATGCTTCTCTAGGAAAACCCTCAGCTCCTTTTTCTTCCATCTCAGCATTTTCAAATATTAACTACATTATTGAGTTTTCCCATACTTGATGCAATTCATGAACCACAAAGACAGCATTAAGAGTCCGTATGCTGATACAAAAATGCATTCAGATTGTGATATTACTGACGACCCACAAATCTATACGTTCATATAATCTAATAGTCTATGGACTATGCTTCCAATTATGGAGTTTGTCTTTAATCTCATAAAAACCTTCTTCACAAGGCACCAAGGTCACGCAAGCATCATTTAAAGTTTTAAACCCATCAGTAGCATGTTGTCCTTTTTCCCATAGAACAAGCCAAGCAAAACATGAATTCAATCCACAATACATCACGAAACCATTAATTCAAGTATACCACTTTTTTACTCCTCTTACCATAACCAAAGCACCAGACGTCCTGTAAAGAGCAATGCACAATATGTTGTTAGGCATTAAAAAAGCACAATATTTCAGGAAAAGAATAAATGCAAGGGTTATATGAAGCATCAAGACAATAATGACATATAAGGCATGAAAGATATACGAAACTCACATCAACTACCTAATAACAAAGGAAATCCAGAATTGAAGTCATTCGATATTCCTAATCTCCTTGAATTCTGCAGAAACTGAAGACTAGTTCGACCAAATTAACACTCCACCAGACTATTGAACAGATATCCCCCAATTCAATTACTGAAATAAACTAAAAGCACCGAATTCCGCTAAAAAACCCTAAATTTACGAGAAAATAAAATCAACTGAGAAGACTAAAGCAATAAATGTCATCTTATTACGGATCATTACATAAATGTGATTACAAGTGCATAATAACTGAAAGATATTAGGGTTTCCAACTGTTATCATTCGATATGAGGTCTCAACCACATCAAACTGGAGAAATAGAAACGCAGAGAAAAGCTAATTTTTGAAACTTTCAATACCTGCATGCGTTTCAAAGGATCATACGAACCCTAAGACGTCTGGCCTGAGCTTCAGGTGAACGTGCGGTGGCGACGAACAAATAAAGTATCGGCGACAATTACCGGACAGATGTCTGCAGAGACACGGAAAGCAGCTACAGAAATTTTTACTTTTTTCTTTTTTTTTCTTTTTTATTTTGATACGTACACAGATTTTTACTTGGGAAGGGAGTAGAGGGAAGGGCGTTTTCAGTCAGTTAATTTTGATACGTACACAGATTAGAGGACAGCAAAATTATTCTTCATCTCCACCACAGGAAGCCCCCCACTAGTCCATGTTTGTGTGTTTATTGAATTATTGTTAAAATAAGTGATTAATAGCACTTATCAATGTTTTGTGAAAAAATGTTTTTTTTTTCAAACAGATAGTTATGTATTTTAAAATAAGTGCTTAAAAATAAGCACCTTCTTATTCAAAATTGGCTTATTTCCATGAATAAGCACTTATTAAGGCTTTTTTACCAAATGTCAACAAGTGTTTTTAGGTGTGGACGTGATCTCAAATAAATTTTTATTCCAATCAAGGTTCAAAACTTCCACATAATACACCTTATATTAGGTGTATTTTATCATAAACCCAAGTGGTTGATATGCCTTTTAAAGGCTTTTTCCATAACTTAATGGTTTAAAACATTAAAACAGACAGCCTTAATATATTTTTTTGAAAAGAAAAACTATAAAAAAGATATTTGCATTAGGTTTAAAGAATCGAAGTATCGATATATCCCTTTCACTTCACTTATTAGGATGTATTAATACTTTGAACCTTCATTCCGATAATAAATGCTTAATATTCCCAAACAAGGGTTTAATGCATCATCGTTCATCAATGATTGTCCTAGGGACCCTTGTGGATGATAATTGATAAGGGTTTTAACACTTTTAGATGCCTCGTTTTTATTTAAAAAAAATGTTTTATGTTTTATTTCACTTTATATTTTTTACCTATTTTTTAATAAAATGTAAAGTTTATTTTGATCTATATCTACATCATCAAATTGTGATCTCAATTATGGCAGTTGGAGGATAAATGAGAGGTATTTTGCCTTTGTCAAGAGTGCAAAAAGCATATGTACCAATGTAAATGCAAATTTGATCAAAAAGTATGAATGCAAACTTTGTTTCAATTTCACATTGATAAATTTTGTATTGTGTTTGGTTGTAATGGGTATAAACACAAATTTCAATACTAGAATCTACTTATTTTACATTGACCAATTGTGGGTACATATGCAAAGTATGTGTGTGTATAATGTTTGTTACCATTTTATTGATACAAGCTGTGCTCCCATTTTAACTGCAAAGATTTCAAAAATAAATAAATTTACTTTCATTCACCACAAAATGTATCTTTACCAAAGAAGTGCAAAACCAAAATAAAGTCAGCTCCGTCCTTAAAATATCAGGGCACATATAATTATTTAATTGGTCCTACCTTTTGTATAAAGGTGATCATATCAAGTAAATCAAATTTCCCAAAAGAAAAAGATAAAAAAAAGGTAAATCAAACTTCCTCCCTTTTTCAGTCATATTTGCCAACTTTACAAAGGAATCAAAAATAGAAAAGGACAATTTTGTCAAATTAAAAGTTAATTAAAACTCAATATAAAGAACAATCAAAGATGCCATATACCAATCTATATTTCTCTTTTAGTGGGGTTATGTAGGATGCAAATGGGGCTCATTGATATGGTATGTGTTTGGTATAGTTTTCGTTTATTAAATAAATGTTCGTACTTGATTTGTCTTGAAAACCGAGAAAAGTACTTAATAAACCATTTATTGACAAATAGGCGCCATTAGGTGCCACATCAGTGAAATAATGAATAAACGCTCAACCGTTGGGGGAAGCATTAAAATGAAGCTTCCTCTAACGGTTGGTGCATGCACATAAATATTCAAAAACATGGCGGCATTTTGATAAACGTCTATCATGAAACGTCCACAGAACAAAACACATGCATAATCAATGTTTAAAAATATCACAAAAATATTGATGTGTATTGTTGCATGATATCTATTTCCTTTGAATCTACTTAGGGAAGTTAATGGGTGAGTTTGGTGCAGTCGTGCAAGTTTGCGTCAACCCTAACCTAAAGACTCAAATGTCCCTACCTAACCCCATAAGGTTCAGCCTGATATCGGCCCGACTCGATTGACAACCCTTTAGTCATATTTTTAAGTTGGATTTTGTTTTATAGGTTTTAATGCACCACTATTTTCCAGTAGAAAGGGAAGAAAAACAAAAATTAACAAAAAGAAATCAGCTTTAAGCTGACATGGATCAAAAAATCAAAACCTTAACCCAACCCTAAGTTGGATTTACCATTTAATCCAACCCATTGGCATCCCTAAACCTATTGAGACGTGAGATACAAGGAATTAGGGGATTCTTTACATTTAAACATAAGAACCCCTTCTAAGTGAAATGCTCGAGCTAAAAAAATATAAAAAAAAAACTCTGGCCCTTTGAATTGCACGATATGCAAAAGAAAAAAACATATATACATGTCAAATTCCAACAATCTAATATTTTTTATTCATAATGTAGCTTTGGCCCTATAGGGGCCAGGTGCTATACACTATACCCATTCAATGGGGCCCATTAGCACATAAGATGGGGATCTTTCCATTCCGAACCCATGCTTCCTCAATATGAGGGATGCCTTACAACCAATCCGACACCAAGTGGATTGATTAGGGTTGCAAGTCGAACTGGGTTAGGCCAGGTTGAGGCCAACCCTAGCCTAACCCTAAGTTCAAAACCCCCAACCTACCCAACCCTAACCCTAATCCTAACTTAATTCCTTCAACCCTAACCCAACCCAAAGTCAACTTTAAGTTGGACCCAACCCAACCTTCTTCCCATCCCTTCAAATCTCAGAACTTCTTAATCTTAGATCTTAACTTAACTTTCATTACACATAGTAATCCTTTGTTTTATTAGTATTTGTTTGTTGATGTTTTTATTGGTTCTTTAAGTACAAAGTTTAGGAAAAAAAAAGTGTTTGAAATGACTATAATTTATTATGATGTCTTATAATAGATCTTTTATGGATAGCTATGGGTGGCAAACAACAATAGGAGATAAAGAATAAAATATTCAAAAAACATAAAATATGTTATCAAAGTTTTAGAATTTCCAATTAGGATTACATGAAGTGATTATCTTAAATGAAATAAATGATAGTATGTGGTGATGGCCATACAACTATCATGCATCTAAACAAATCAATGTATGGTATATATATAACATATATTAATATATGACATGTACTAAAGAGTTGGGTTCATTTGGGTCGGGTTGCTCGGGGGGTCAACCCTAACCCAATCCGAAGTAAAGTCAGATTCATAAATTAAAACTTTAACCCTAACCCGAGCATCAACCCGACTTTTTAGGGTCAAGTTCGGGCTAACCCGACCTAGGTTGCAACCTTAAAATTGGTGTTCTTTAGTAGGTTTGAATCAATCCATCCTCTTCATGGGGATGCCTTGCAACCAACTCAACTATAAGGATTGGCATTGTAATGTCGTAGGCAGGTTTCAAGGTTATATTTATGTTCAAATTGCTCTCAATCTAAACATTAGGGTGGATCCTTTGTTATCTTCTCTGACAATTCATTTTACCATTCCACCATAATTTATTTTGGAAGATATACTAACATAGTTCTGATTTTGAAGCTTGGCCAAAAAAGATTATATTTATGTTGAGATTGTCCTCATTACCAAATGGATTTATTCCTTGAATTTCTCCTTAAAAAGTAATTTGATGTTCAATTCTTTTTTTTTAATCCATGCCTTCACAATTACACCTGTTCACGGGTCAAGCTTTAGGCCTGGCTTTATATTGTGTCAGGCTTGAGCTCGGGCTTTAGGTCAGACCCATTGAAATTTTGGCAAAAGCCAAGCCCAAGCAAGGCCCATGAACAGGTCTATTCACAATCTAAAGCAATGCATTGCTTGAAATAATTATGCAATGCCATTTGATTTTTTAACCCTATATCTAACAAGGCTCTATATTCCTCTCTTTATGGTAACAATGGTCATTAATCCTTCATTTGCTCCATCGATGACCTAAATGTAGGTCGGGCATAGATGCTAAACTTGGCCAAAACTTGGAATATGTGAAACGATATAAATGATTTATGAAGCATGATGGAGAATAGTAGGGTTGAGATCAGGATTAAAGACATGTTTAGAGAGGCAAACAAATTTGCTGATTTCCTGGCCAACATGGGGCACACAGATCATATATTACATTGCCTGTAGGTGTAACTTGAGTTGGCCGAGTTAGCATTTTACATTGCTTTAGGCCCATTCAAATTTTGACAAAATCCCAAATTGAGTTTGCCCAAATTGCACCCATAGTTGTCTAACTTGAAGATTTGTAGGGCAAAACAAAGCTTTCATTGTAAAAGAGGCAAAAATATAGGTAAGTTTTTTGGGTAATGGGCTACCGACAAGGGTAGCCCTCCCCAAAACCCCTAGATACCCCCAACCTTGGTGAAGGCAGGATTCGATCCCACTTGTTAGAGACTTTACTAGCAAGTATTGGTGCACCTTTTAGGCATAAAAGATTTTCATTTTGGTAAATATGTAAGGTTGTTGAGAATTATGGGATCTGCTCATCAAAGAGCGCTTCTCACACCAACCTCACAGCCATATCCCATCGTGTATTGGGAACATCTCCCATGAATAATAATATTACAAGTATGGGAGATGTTCCCTATGTGTCGCTGGAGCATGTTGTGAGGTCGGTGTGAAGAGCAGATCTAGACTTAGTTGTTGAGGGACATACTTGGTTCAAAATGACTCCATGGATGGTGGAAACAAGAGCGCAAGAGGTTCTATTTGCCACACAAGAATAGAGGTCTAGTTTGGGGGGAGGGCGGTACTTTGGCTCTTTACGACTGTTTTCAGCTTTCTGCATATATGCCAAAATTGTGAAGAAGCAAGATTCCAACTAAACTATTACGCAACAAAATGAGTTCAGAACAGTGTTTGAAGGATTGCCTTCTGAATTCAAATATTGCTAATGGGTGCATTGAGATAGACTTAGCTGAAGGCTTTAACTATTTAGTGGAACCAGTAATAACACTCCACACCAGTCATAAAATACATGGGCCCATAATCATTCAACCTCCGGTGTGGGCTCTGTGTCTTTAATCACTAGTGTGGAGCACTAGCATTGGTTCCACAACCTATTACATAGCT